CGCATGGACCCCGGCTGGACAACAAGCGTTCACATGTACTTTCACATCGTTTATCACATCGACAACGAATGGCAATGAGCAACTGATGTTATCAGCTTACTCTACTACTCTTCACTAAGGCATATCAAGAAGGGCATGATTCGATCTAATATTATGTGCATATAACATTAATTTGAAACTCGTTGGGGTCCAGCTGGACCCCAGGTGGGCGGATAAGGGTTAAACAAAAGTCATTTCTATTAATTTCTGTTCATAAATTAATTTAAGTCAATTTGTAATAACTAATTCATTTAAATTAATTAAGAAATCATTTGCTAAAATTAATTTCAAATGTAAATAATTAGAAAAAAAATTAATGCAAATTAATTTCAAGTTTTTCGAAAACAAAATAGGTACTTATTTTGGTTTAGAAATATTATCAAGAATTTCTGAGACTACTACTGAATTGCTATGATAAACCTGAAAAAATTAATTCAGATTAATTCTAAAATTGAAAATTGTTTTGAATTAATTTTTTTCGGATTAGTGTAAATCGATTTATTACTAAACTGAGTTAAAGGAATTTGGAAAAGCATGAATTCAAATTAATTTAAAGTTTGAAATTAGTGTAAAGTTTTCGAATTAATGTAAACTAATTCGAAATTTCGAAATTCGTGTCACTTAATTTAGTATGAGACGTTGTGTGATGCGGTCATGAGAGAAATTAACTTTTTCACAAACAAATGAATTAGTTTTTTTTCCTTTTTCAAATTAATCTGAATTAAATTTTATGATTTGTTTTTATATTTATCCAAAAATTTAAATTGATGTGAATTAATTCTGAACGCAAAAAAGTTTTTTTAATTAATCTGAACGACTTTCCTTTTAAATTTGTTCAAATTCCTTGAAATCTTGAAATTAGTTTGAATTAATTCGAAAGTATTAAAAAATTCCAATGTGCTGGAATCACATTTATGTAAGAAAGAATGCTTGAAAATCAAATGGAAAAGTGAAAATTTGTAATAAATCAAAGTTTTCATTGAATCCCGGACGATTATCTAAAACATACATTGTGTAATCCTTTAAAATAACCAACATTCATCATTTAAAATCCTCAATAGTTTTTCAAATTTGTAATTCAAACACCGATTGCTTCCGTTAACTCTAAAACATAAAATAAATCCAAATAGTGAAAATAACACTATAAGGTTTTCCTTTGGAGAACTTACCGTCCTTACATCGACTTGACGTGAATCGTTCCCGGCTTTCAGGGCTAGTAGAACTCAATGTACTAATCACGAAAATCGCGTTACTACAAAATTTTATTTTCATAAAATTAACATGTTGATCGTGTATGAGTCAAAGTAAACGGAATACTGCATCGAATGCTATGTGATGTGACAAAAATTTATTAGCATTTTCGCACCTTATATTTGCTGCACATTAATCTTTTTACAAAAACATTCAGAAGAATGAATTAGTATTCTTACCAAGTGATTCTTTTGAGCACTTATCGTCATTACATCGACTTGATGCGAATCGTTCCCAGCTTTCAGACCTAGCTAGTAAAACTCAATGGGGTCATCACGAAAATCACATTGAAAAAATTTAAAATGAAAAATGACAAATGTGCGAGTCTTCCATGCAAAAACGATAGGCTCTCAAGACACCAGATGGAATGTGTTTCTTGGCCTGTTTCTGTTGACAATGTTTTCACACAATGAGTTGCTTGCCAAAATGTGGATGATAAAGGGTTGCTCTCAGCATCATGATTGTTGTCGGTGTATTTGACTATGTTTGTCACAGCACCAATTACCAAACAAATGGCTATTATCATATACATTTTGTTGATGCCTGTTAGATTGAGAATCTTATATAACTCTCTATTTTTTGTTTTTTGGCGTCGAGACAAATATAAAGAGAAACAAAAGAAATGTAGTGTTTTCTGTATATGCCAATGTGGAAAAATATCGTTGACAATGAAAGAAAACAAAAAAACAGAGATGAAAAGATATTGTGTTCTTATATAACATTACATAAATTAATTGCCTTGAATACATAAGTGTAACCTTTTAGGCTATAATGTAAACTTTTAAGATCTGCTTTTCTGGAATAATGACTAAGCGATAGCGACAGACAAGTTTACATTTCTCCAGTTAAAAGTCGTTCAAAAGAAATTACAAAATTTTCTCAATAAATGTCACAGATAAATGAAGGCCGTCAAAATAAAAGATCTCATTTTAAATATTGCATATTTCTTTCAGAATAGACGTAGTTGAACTTTTTAAAAGTTCTTTCTGTTTTGTGCATATTTTTGAAAAACAATTTTTTTCACCAGTTAGGATAAAAACAATATGCGATTTTTATTGCTTAGAACAGAATCTTATCCAAAGGCGCAATTTTTAAGGTTAAAACTGGAAATGGTTTATTTTTAAAGCATGAGATAAATTAATTTTAAGATGACAAACACCTATTTTCCTACAGAACGCCTGTACTGCGAAACTCTACTTTTTCTCTACTAATGATCCAAAAAAAACAAAAACACCAGCCGATGCGTCTTTGCTTCCTCTATCCAACTATATGTCATTCCTGTTTGAAAGGGGCCGACATACACGAAAAAACGGTGGGGTCCTTTCGCGTTGCGAATCACCAGTTTCACACTCATGACTAAGAACAACGATTAATAATAAGAAAATGATAAGAAGTAAAAAACCTGCAAAAATGAAGATTCTTTGAATGAGGTTCGTAACAAACACACAAAATAATGTGTCAACCTTTTTTCGTAAAATTTTAAATCAGCCGTTTTCTTATGCAGTTTCTGATGTTCTTTCCATTCATACGTCTAAAAAAAATTTCATCCATTCATTACCGAGATACAGGGTTTATATGTTCATTATGCAAAATTTACCTTAAAACCGGTCTGCCGGCCTCGAGAAAGCTTTTTATCAAAAACTGGTAAAAAAATCAGTTACATTAAGTGTACGGCAAATTTTTGCAGCTTTTCGGTACCCGAAGAGAAGGTACTTGAACACTGATGTCAATCTACAGACAAGAATAACCAATATTTGCAGCAGTAGTAAAGTCAGACAACTGCATTTTACTAAATACTAATTAACTATACCTCTCATTGGATTTTTTTGTTTTGTCTATATTTAGTATGTTTGAATGAAAAACTGCCGTTCTGTCCATCAGTTCAGGGTAGCCGTTTTTAAACACTCTTAAACTGAGTGCTGTCTGATTAATAATATAGATTCTAACAGCCTCAAGTTCTATTTATAACGAGAAAATTCTCCTTGTACAGTCGATAAAATGCAACTCTTTGTTAATTAATGACTTAAAACTAATTCTAAAATTTCGAAGGGAGTGAGAATCCTATCTTTTCATTAAATATAATATGCAAACTATCTCTGAATTCGTATTCAGCATGAAAATTTACCCATAAGTGCATGCTTTTTACCGTTGCTAACATACTTGGCAGGGGCAGTTTTTCAAAAGTAGATCCCACAGTAAGCCTACCGTGGAAACACAAAACTTGCTGCAGACTTGCTTATTACGTCATTTAAGCGAGCTTGGAAGCCGCTTTCACGTGATTAACAATAAAGTGACGGATTAGATTTTGGATTAAAGATACTCTTTACAAAAAGGGACAAATCAATTCAATAGTTCAACAATTTTTTAAAATACTAAAAGAGATAATCTGATTTGTGGATAAAAATATAGAACTTTGTATGCTGCTCTTTCCAACTAGAAGTACCCCCTCTCTTCTATGGTTTCGCAGATCGCACGAGAACGCTTGAAAATTCCAGGTAATGTCGGAAATTCGCCTCCTGAAAATACCTAACGTCACAAGTTGTGGCCTTAAGGTGACCCAGTTCCATACACTGGTTTTCTGAGCGGAACTGTGTGGAAGCATCCGCATACGATTTTCTTGAGTTCTATTATTCTCTTGTTATTTATGAGGATTTTGTTACTTTTTTCATTATATCAAGATAAAATCAATATCAATTGTTAAAGTTAAAAATAAATTCAATTCAATAAAGCGGGCTTTTTCTCAAGTTTTGTTAATGTTTTCACTATGAAAACTTGTCCCTGTTGTTACAAGCCAAGATCACTTAATCCTGGATGATTATCAGGTCGTCGACCCAGTGACCATCGAAATTTTCGATCAGCTTCTTGAATCGGCAAATCATTAATACTTGCATATCGTTTTTTCATTAAACCATCGGAATCAAATTCCCAATTTTCATTTCCATACGATCGATACCACTGATTGTTTGCATCATCATGCCATTCGTAAGCAAATCTTACTGCAATACGTGAACTACTATCATGTACCCATAATTCTTTAATCAGACGATATTCTCGTTCGTGATTCCATTTTCGTGTCAGAAATGCAATGATTTCATCTCGACCAGTAATAAATTCAGCCCGATTCCGCCATTGACTGTCTGTTGTATAAGCCAGAGCAACACGCGATGGATCACGGGAATTCCAAGCATCTTCAGCCAATCGGACTTTGGTAATTGCAGTTTCAAGTGTAAATGGTGGACAAAGTGGATGTGATTCGGATGTCATTGGAAGAATGTATACGTAATGAATAACTTGAACAATATGTAAAGGACACGAATGAGGTCAATAATAAAACAGAAAAACAATGCATGATATTATAAAAATGATTGATTGAGTGGACGGAGAGTTAAGTCGTTTTCTTTCACATACAACAGAAATAAAAAACAGTTATCTTCTACAAAACTCATTGAAGAATGTTCTTCTCTCATCCGCACGAGAATAGCTTCTTAAGGCTCTCGCTTACTCAACTAAAATTGAATTTGGGATTTATACCTTATTAGATAATATAAAGTGTCAGCTATCGAATGCACTATAGTTTTTAGCCTGGGTGATGGATTTTAGAGGTTCTTGAGTCGTATTTCTAAAGACATCATACAATAAAAAATGGATTTTTTTCTGTTTTTCGATTATTCAAAATATTTTTAGTGTACGAATACGTTGAAAAATATCTCGTACATGTCTTTCCACATGCTTATTCAATTTAGTGTAGTTGTATAGTAAATCACTCTTACTTATCGTCAAACGGTTATTTTCGTCGCGAAAACTAAATTCTAAGCAGCATAAAGTTGTTTTGCTTTTTTCTCGAAATCGTCTTTTCTTGAAAAGCAGGTGTCGGCACTTCTCATGTTTCTCTGTTATTTAAGTGCTAAACTTCTTGGGCTGTTCTTAAAATGTAGTCAAGAGTCGACACTACAACTTAACAGAGCCGAATTTTGATTTTCAAATTAGTTCTTGCTCAGAAAAATAAAAAGTTAATAAAAAGTCTACTGTTAGTATTTACAATTAGAAAACTTTTGGTACCATATAATATTTGAAAAAGAATAGAACAGAAAAAACAGTGACGATAATTTGTATTTTGTACGGATGTGTGCAGGAGTAAAAGATCTGACTCATGTTCATATTTGATAGAATTACTAGATGTGGATGATGTATGGGTAAACATAACAGCACGTTGATGGTACATATAGTATACGTCATTTTTGGAGCAAGCGTTTCGTCAGATTATGTTAATTTAGAAAAACAAGGAAAAACGTTGTCTAACATAAATGGTGATTAGATACGACTCTATTTTTATTTCTTCTTTTCAACGTCGTATAGTTTTTATCATCATTGTGTGCTTTTTCTTTGATTCTTCTCACGTGCAATTGTACTACATCACAGTCTAAAAGTCGGAGAATGACACTCTAGTAATGTTGAATCCTTCTTAGGATGAAACACACCTTGAACAAAATTGATCTAAGCTTTCAAATTAACAAGCAAAATAGACCGTGTTATACTATTCTGATAGACTATGTTCAACCCTCAAATGTGTCTCAATAGTTACAAGTCATTTCTCTAATTGCGACATACCAATTTAATGTCGCATACATAGGCGCATCGACCGAGACGACATCAGACTTGCAATGCACTTGATAATGTAAACAGATAAGTTGCTGCTTAAGACTAGCTGAAAACGTTTTCTGTACGCTGTTAACAGGCTCTGTGAATTTCCGTGACAGTTCCTGTCATCTCTGTTATAGGTCATTTCTCACTGACGCATTAACGTTTTTCACAGTTAATTTGGATTTAAATTTTCTAGTGTGAACGTAGCCTTACTTGTTAAACTTGTACAACGGTTTCGATGTTACCAGTATTAAGTATTTTTTGTGTTAACATTGTTGTTAAAACATCGATCATTGAATAAACTACTCTGGTTTCTTCATTAAAATCTGTTTTTCATCGTTTTCCTTTACACATACATTTTAAAGTACAATCACACGTGAGAAGAATCAAAGAAAAAGCACACAATGATGATAAACACTATACGACGTTGAAAAGAAGAAATGAAAATAAAAATGAAAGGAATAGATCACCACAAGTGAGACGTACATTTATATGTCGTATTTGTTGCATGCAGTTATAAAAAAAACAAGAAAAACGAAGACAGTCTGTAATTCACAGTCATTCAATGTCACATGTTTGTTGTTTGTCGAAAAGCATCCGTTTGTAAGAGTTTGTATTGAAGATTTTGATAGATGGATTTTACAGCTTGGATAAATAAGAAAAAACGTATCATACCCTATTCGAGTTGGATATGGTACATGTGCTCAGATGGTTTTTGAAAATTTTAAAAATGTTTTCATTGGATTTGTCACCATTTTTTACCAGGAGATCCAAATTTTCATTGATTTTGAGTTAGACTGCTAACTGGCGGCCGATTATCCATTGCCTGCAGAAAGTTTATATTTACACAAGATTTTGTCAGGTTTCGAGAGAGTAGTCAAATAAATGTGTTGTTCTTTTAATCACCATTTTGTTTGACATTCTTCTTGCATATATAGTTAAGCTGTTACTCGTTCGTCGTCGTACGAATTATCAGAGACAGCGAAGAATTTGGACGATCAGCTTGTTCGATCAGAAACCAGTTGTCGTCTCGACTTGCGCTGTTGGGGCGTGCGTTTTACTGACAACAAGCAACGTCCCTATTTCGAGGGTCGCGAACGCAACGACGTCGTGATCGAAAGGGAGAAATTCATTTCTTACTTTCTGACTCGTCGAGCTCACTACTACACTGTGAGCGATGGAGAACAGCCTGCGTGGTGCATATCAACGGTGCCCAAACCATGTGTGTTGATATGAAAGTTTGCTTTTCTCCGATTCTTGCGAAACAGTTAATGTGTTTTTTTTTCTTTTTTTGTCTCGTTAGGCCACGACGAGTCAACTTTTCGAAGCGGAGACATCTCGCGCAAGTGTTGGACGATTAGTGAGAAGACACCCTTCTTCAGCAAAGGACGAGGCCGAAGCCATATGATCTTTGATTTCCTGGTATCACATCCTTCCGGGCCGTTCTTCGCTCTTACCCATTCAGAATTTCAAGAGACAGTGAAGAAGTATCCGAGCCTCCTGGTTGATGAAGACAATAAATATATCGGATATTCTGCCACAGCCGGCATCAATGTGGGCCAGGACAACTATTTCGATAATGAAACAGTACTCAGACAATTTGAGCGACTCTTCTAGCTATTACCTTTCAAGAGTGAATTTGCCGGACATGATATCGAAGTAGTCGTCGATAATGCAAGAATTCATTCGGCCAAGAACTACAGTTTGAACGACTTCGGCAAGAACGTCGGCACACGGTGCCCAGTGAATGAGCTGGATTTTCTTGTCGAGTGTGGTCAAAGGCAATCGATTTTCTGCTTCTTCACTGATGGTGAGAAGAAGGGGAAATCGAAGGGCCTGCTGGTGTTGGCTAAAGAGTTGAAAGTGGTGGTGCACGATATAGTCAAGCTCGACGAACTGCGAAACTTGTAACGCTTGAATCGTTACTCTTTACCAGTAACAGTATTGAAAAACCGTGTACGTTACTTGAGTAACGGAGGTAATGGTAACGGGTAACGGTCCACTCCCTAGTCTTCATCCGAAAAAGATGTCCTTTAATAAGGACATATGTATAATAACATTCAATCAAATACTTTTAGTTTGTATTTGACTTTGTTTGGTGATTTTCTGTAATTTTGATGTGTGTGAATAGATTTTCTTTAATGATCCTTCTTTCTAATCTATTAGTTTTCCAATTATTTTGATTGACGTGTTACTTATGTTTGGATTAGGTTTTCTCTCTTTGTTCATATTTTCATTCTCTATTCAATTTGGCACTCTCTTTTCTTACAATTTGTAATGTCAGTCTATTTTACTACTACTATGTAGATATATATAATAGCACTAGTTTTCATTTTTCTTGTTGATAGTGAAAGTTCTTACTGAACGTTCGAAATAAGTACTTCAAGCAGATTTTCATTAATCTAATCATTTCTCGTAGCAGTGTGATACTCTTTATTCTGTCATTTATTTGAAACTGCCCTTTCTCTTAATTTTCAACGTACACATATGCCTGCGTGTCACCATGGTACATATATAAAGAAAAAGAAGATTGAAGGTGAACTATAAAAATGTTTGTGACTAAACGTAGATTCCGTAGTATACAGTAGAATTCTAAGTTTTTGGTCATAACGAATATATCTAAAACATTCTCAAAGATTTTTATCTCAAATGGCGTGAAATAGGACCAGTACTATTATTCTATAAATAAAGGTGGTATATGATGTATTTTTTCTTTTTTTTCTTTCTTTTCTGTGCTGTCAAAAATACGAGAAAAGAAGAGAAAAGCGGTTTTGTACTGTTTTACCTCTTACATACATCGTATCAATGCACGTGACAAGTCACGCGTCAAGTTACACGTGTATCTCTGTGACCACGTTCACTCAGTTTTTTCTGTTCGCTATTTATGTCTGATAAAAAAACATTCATTTATAGAATAATAAAAGATGTTTCATTTAGACCTGTTACATGAAAAAGTCTATCTTAATCAGGGCATACATTTTTGAATTTTGAGTAGAAATCAAGTGCAGGTAATAACTATTAACTTTAAGAAGCTCTGCGTAGAAGAGCAGAAAAACCTTCCGTTTTTGTTGGCTCCTTTTTGGTCGTTCGACTCATGTAGAACATCACAAAATACAAAGAATACTTGAAAGATACGTGTTCAGTTTTTGACACATTGTTTCTAGGGCTTTTCGTGAAAAACTTCATATTTTGACTATTTCGAGATATGAATATCTAAAAGTTTGATTCACAAGTGTCTTTGTATGCTCTTTTCATTGCGATCATAAAAGGACGACAGTATTTTTTTTCGATCACGTTATTTTGGGATCAGGACGAACTGTCTCTTGTAAAATAGTTTTAAATAGAATCGAAAATAAATCGGTGTTAATCCGATCATTTCTCGCTTCTTCTTCGTGTGTTTTGATAGAGAGTGCCACTTAATAATAAGATATTCGAGATCATCTTAGTTCTATACAGAATGAAATCAGTGACTTGGTGCCGTCATAGTTCCATCTTTAGCGCTAAAGGCGTCTGCTTCTATATTTCTCAGTTAAACAATTTGTTCTCCTAGATAAGAAATCGTCTTTTGAAAGACAACACAGCGCAATTTTTGTGATTAGTTATCGCAGCTATAACATGTTCGA